GTCGAAATTAAACTTTGTTTGATTTCAACAAAAATTGAATATATGGGGTTCTTTGATATGCTGAATCTAACCATGTATTTAGATTTTTGATTTTTGGGCCCCGTTATCAACTTTGTCCACATTGAGGTCAAAAGGTTCCAAAATTAAACTTTGTTTGATTTCCTCAAAAATTGAATTCTTGGGGTTCTTTGATGTGCCAAATCTAACCGTGTATTTAGATTTTTAATTTTGGGTCCTGTTTTTTAAATTGGTCTACATTAAGGTCCAAAGGGTCCAAAATTAAACTTAGTTTGATTTTAACAAAAATTGAATTCTTCAGGTACTTTGATATGCTGAATCTAAACATGTGTTTAGATTTTTGATTATGGGACCAGTTTTCAAGTTTGTCCAAGTTGGGGTCGAAATTAAACTTTGTTTGATTTCAACAAAAATTGAATATATGGGGTTCTTTGATATGCTGAATCTAACCATGTATTTAGATTTTTGATTTTTGGGCCCCGTTATCAACTTTGTCCACATTGAGGTCAAAAGGTTCCAAAATTAAACTTTGTTTGATTTCCTCAAAAATTGAATTCTTGGGGTTCTTTGATGTGCCAAATCTAACCGTGTATTTAGATTTTTAATTTTGGGTCCTGTTTTTTAAATTGGTCTACATTAAGGTCCAAAGGGTCCAAAATTAAACTTAGTTTGATTTTAACAAAAATTGAATTCTTCAGGTACTTTGATATGCTGAATCTAAACATGTGTTTAGATTTTTATACGACCGCAAAAAAATTTTGTGGTCGTATATTGGTATGACGTTGGCGTCGTTGTCGTCGTCGTCGTCGTCCGGCGTCCGGCGTCGTCGTCGTCGTCCGGCGTCGTCGTCCGAATACATATTGGTTTTCGCACTCTAACTTTAGTTTAAGTGAATGGATCTTTTTGAAATTTGACCATAAGGTTAAATACCACAAAAGGAAGGTTGGGATTGATTTTGGGGGTTATGGTACCAACAGTTAAGGAATTAGGGGCCAAAAAGGGGCCAAAAATGAGCATTTTCTAGTTTCCAGACAATAACTGTGGAACGGTGTATGGATCTCTCTGAAATTATACTACAAGTTTCCATACCACAAAGGGATGGTTAGGATTTGCTTTGGGGGGTTATGGCTCAAACCGTTTAGGAATTAGGGGCAAAAAAGGGGGAAAAACAAGGTTGTCCTGGTTAATGGACAAATACTTTAGTACAAAACATAATTTAAAGCAGTGTAAGGGAGATAAATCAAATACATCATTGAAATTATCTCCCTTACACTGCTTTTAAATTATGTATAAAGTAATGGTTAATGAACAATAAAGATAATCTAAAACAGTGTAAGGGAGGTAATCCAAATACAACGTTTTGGTTACTTCCCTTACACTGCTATTAAATCATGTTTAAAGAAATGCATATTTATAAAGGAAGACCAGTAAAAATATCTGCAAATGTTTTCATCTTTTTTTTTTACAAAAAAATCCATATGAAAGATTTGACACTATATTTTTATTAATTCTATTATAAAATAGATTAAGTTAGCACTATGGTAAATTTAAATGGGTAATTATGGTTGCCAACTCCATTGGAAATTTGAATTGAGATTATGACCATATCTTGAGGGAAAGAATTTTTTTTGGGGAAAAAGAATTTAAAGAAGTAATCTTTAATTGCACAGTATGGCGCATTAGATTTGTAAAATCTTTGATCACATTTATTTATTTGTTATGCCGAATCTAACAGTGTATTTAGATTTTTAATTTTGGGTCCAGTTTTCAAATTGGTCTACATTAATGTCCAAAGGGTCCAAAATTAAACTTTGTTTGATTTTAGCAAAAATTGAATATATGAGGTTCTTTGATATGCTGAATCTAAACATGTATTCAGATTTTTGATTTTTGGCCCAGTTTTCAAGTTGGTCCAAATTGGGGTCCAAAATTAAACTTTGTTTGATTTCAACAAAAATTGAATAGATGGGGTACTTTGATATGCTGAATCTAACCATGTATTTAGATTTTTTATTTGTGGACCCCGTTATCTAATTGGTTCATATTGAGGTCAAAAGGGTCCAAAATTAAACTTTGTTTGATTTCATCTAAAATTGAATTATTGGGGTTCTTTGATATGCCAAATCTAACCGTGTATTTAGGTTTTTAATTTTGGGTCCTGTTTTTTAAATTGGTCTACATTGAGGTCCAAAGGGTCCAAAATTAAACTTTGTTTGATTTCATCGAAAATTGAATTATTGGGGTTCTTTGATATGCCAAATCTAACCGTGTATTTAGGTTTTTAATTTTGGGTCCTGTTTTTTAAATTGGTCTACATTGAGGTCCAAAGGGTCCAAAATTAAACTTAGTTTGATTTTGACAAAAATTGAATTCTTGGGGTTCTTTGATATGCTGAATCTAAACATGTGTTTAGATTTTTGATTATGGGCCCAGTTTTCAAGTTGGTCCAAGATAGGGTCCAGTATTTAAACTTTGTTTGATTTCAACAAAAATTGAATATATGGGGTTCTTTGATATGCTGAATCTAAACATGTATTTAGATTTTTGATTATGGGCCCAGTTTTCAAGTTGGTCCAAATTGGGGTCCAAAATTAAACTTTGTTTGATTTCAACAAAAATTGAATATATGGGGTTCTTTGATATGCTGAATCTAACCATGTATTTAGATTTTTTATTTGTAGGCCCCGCTATCAAATTGGTTCATATTGAGGTCAAAAGGGTCCAAAATTAAACTTTGTTTGATTTCATCAAAAATTGAATTATTGGGGTTCTTTGATATTCCAAATCTAACCGTGTATTTAGATTTTTAATTTTAAGTCCCGTTTTTTAAATTGGTCTACATTAAGGTCCAAAGGGTCCAAAATTAAACTTAGTTTGATTTTAGCAAAAATTGAATTCTTGGGGTTCTTTGATATGCTGAATCTAAACATGTGTTTAGATTTTTGATTATGGGCCCAGTTTTCAAGTTTGTCCAAGTTGGGGTCCAAAATTAAACTTTGTTTGATTTTAACAAAAATTGAATATATGGGGTTCTTTGATATGCTGAATCTAACCATGTATTTTGATTTTGGACATTGGACCATAATAGGTAAATTAAAAGAATTCAAGTTCTTAGACCACATTCTTTCTGTGTCAGAAACCTATGCTGTGTCAAATATTTAATAACAATCCAAATTCAGAGCTGTATCAAGCTTGAATGTTGTGTCCATACTTGCCCCAACTGTTCAGGGTTCGACCTCTGCGGTCGTATCAAGCTGCGCCCCAGCGAAGCATTTTATTGATTATGGGACCAGTTTTCAAGTTTGTCCAAGTTGGGGTCCAAAATTAAACTTTGTTTGATTTCAACAAAAATTGAATATATGGGGTTCTTTGATATGCTGAATCTAACCATGTATTTTGATTTTGGACATTGGACCACAATAGGTAAATTAAAAAAATTGAAGTTCTTAGACCACATTCTTTCTGTGTCAGAAACCTATGCTGTGTCAAATATTTAATCACAATCCAAATTCAGAGCTGTATCAAGCTTGAATGTTGTGTCCATACTTGCCCCAACTGTTCAGGGTTCGACCTCTGCGGTCGTATCAAGCTGCGCCCAGCGAAGCATTTTATTCAGATATAAGGCAAAAACGCAAACATGTTAGTATAAATCGTCATTAAAGGTCAATAACTCCAATATAGGGTAATCAGACTATTTCAACCATGTTGACTTTAATATTTGTAGAACTTATCTTGCTGATCATTTTTGCCAGATAAAGTTTCTCTCTATCTATTATAATTTTCAAGATAATAGGCAAAAATTTTAAAAGTTGATAAAATTCATCATTTAAGGGCAATAACTCCTATAATAAGTCGTCTGACAGTTTGAATTTAGCCATGTCCGCCATGTTGGTTGGCAGGTTGGGTCATCAGACACATTTTTTATATGACCGCAAAAAATTTTTTGCGTCGTATAATGCTATCATGTTGTTGTCTGCATCGTCCGAAGACGCATTTAGTTTCCGGACAATAACTTTAGTTTAAGTGAATGGATCTCTATGAAATTTTACCATAAGGTTCAATACCACAAAAGGAAGGTTGGGATTGATTTTGGGGGTTATGGCACCAACAGTTAAGGAATGAGGGGCCAAAAAATAAGCATTTTTGTAACTTCCAGACAATAACTTGTGTGTTAGTGTATGGATCTCTCTGACATTGTACCACAAGGTTCCATATCACAAAGGGAATGCTGGGATTGATTTTGGTGGTAATTGCCTCAAAATTTTAGGAATTAGGGGCCAAAAAAGGGGCAAAAAACAAGCATTTTTCTTGTTTCATGACAATAACTTGTGTGTAAGTGTATGGATCTTTCTGAAATTGTACTACAAGGTTCCATATCACAAATGGAAAGCTGGAATTCAGTTTGGGGGTAATTGCCCAAAACGTTCAGGAATAAGGGGCCAAAAATAAGCATTTTTCTAGTTTCCAGACAATAACTTGTGTTCAAGTGTATGGATCTCTCTGAAATTGTACTGCAAGGTACTATACCACAAAGGGAAGGCTGGGATTGAGTTTGGGGGTAATTGCCTCAAAATTTTAGGAATTAGGGGCCAAAAAAGGGCAAAAAACAAGCATTTTTCTAGTTTCAGGACAATAACTTGTGTGTAAGTGTAAGGATCTTTATGAAATTGTACTTCAATGAACCATATCACAAAGGGAAAGCTGGGTTTGAGTTTGGGGGTAATTGCCCTAAACGTTTAGGAATTTGGGGCCAAAAAACAAGCATTTTTACAGTTTCCAGACAATAACTTGTGTTCAAGTGTATGGATCTCTCTGAAATTGTACTGTAAGGTACCATACCACAAAGGGAAGGCTGGGATTGAGTTTGGGGTAATGAATCATAAGGGGGTTCAAAAAATTGGGGGGGGGGGGGAATTTTTTTTTTCCTTTTTTTTTTTTCTTTAAAATTTTCCATTTTAAGTTGGTTATTTTTTATATATATATATATATATATAAAAGCAAATAATAATGATATGGTTTGATTTCATCAAAAATTGAAATATTGGGGTTCTTTGATATGCTGAATCTAACCGTGTATTTAGATTCTTAAGTTTTGGTCCCGTTTTCAAATTGGTCTACATTAAGGTTCAAAGGGTCCAAAATTAAACTTAGTTTGATTTTAACAAAAATTGAATTCTTGGGGTTCTTTGATATGCTGAATCTAACCGTGTATGTATTTAGATTTTGGATATTGGACCATAATAGGTATATTAAAATTTTTTAAGTTCTTAGACCACATTCATTCTGTGTCAGAAACCTATGCTATGTCAAATATTTAATCACAATCCAAATTCAGAGCTGTATCAAGCTTGAATGTTGTGACCATACTTGCCCCAACTGTTCAGGGTTCGACCTCTGCGGTCGTATCAAGCTGCGCCCAGCGGAGCATTTTATTAAACTAGATACCCCAATAATGATTGTGGACAAGTTTGGTTAAATTTGGCCCAGTAGTTTCAGAGGAGAAGGTTTTTGTAAAAGATAACGATAGACGACGTACACCAAATGACGAGAAAAGCTCACTTGGCCTTTTGACCAGGTGAGCTAAAAAAGTAAAATAACTAAAATAACACTCCAATAACTTTAAGCAATATATATCATGTATACATATGAAACACCTATAATTTAGATTCTTACTTTTCATTTACAGCTAGGAAGTATAGCAGATAGAACAATACATGAAGCAGATACAGATGGTGATAAACAGATCTCTTTTGATGAATTTAAACAGGTATATTATGTAATCCTTTTAGTGTTGATATTAAATGACACATTAGTATGTTAAGACCTATATGAAAATAAGCAGAAGTGGTATGATTGCCAATGAGACAACTATCCACCAGAGTCAAATGACGAAGATAAAAGCAATTATAGGTCACTGCACCTAGCTTGCATGTTGTATCTAGAATTATAGCATGATTTATACTTATTAATGATAATTTAGAAATTATAACGAAGTTTCTATTAATTCGAATAATGCAACTGGGAGAGTATTGCAATAATACAACCTCACATTCAGATATTTGATACATATATCTGTATGCAAATTTTACTGAAATCGCAATAATTTATCTTGCTGGAGAGAACCATGACATTCGTCAGGAAGACTGGAAATTTTAGACAATTAAGATTAAGGTCAAAACACACCTACCCAGTGTGGGGTTTGACTTCACAACCTAATGTGTTGACAGGCTAGTGATATAATAGAGCAACTATGTAGACCACTCAGACTTTTTAAATTTTAATACTGAATGAAAATGTAGAATTCTTTTTCTTTTCAGGCAATGAAATATTTAATAATTTGTTGAACCCTTTTTCTTATAAGGCATTGGAAAATTTGATAAAATGTAGAACCTTTTTTCTTTTCAGGCAATGGAAAAAGTAGATGTAGAACAGAAAATGAGTATAAGGTTCCTGAACTGATTAGATATAATAACTGTTCTTTGACAATAGTAAAATGACTACAATAGGAGAGATAGATTGTTCTATATTCTGAATATACATGATGGATATTTACATGTGATAAAAAAGAATAACCTGTCTCTAAAGTATCCAAATCTTTGGTCATGACTTTTATCCCACCTTTGTTTGGTATAACATATCATATGGATTTACCAGCATAAACAGCTTACCCTGGATTCATCTATTTAAAGTGTCTACCGATTTTGCTTGATTTGTGTGGCTACTTGATTATAAAATAAATCCACAATACTGTGGGAACCATTTTTTATCAATTTGGGGAAAATTTCAATTTTGTGGATATTTCATTTTTTGGTTTTTCAAAGTCTGTATGCTATCCTAAAAGAAGTTTATACTTCCTTGAACATTTAAATTTGTGGTTTTGCTATTCCCAAGAGATCAAAGAAAATTGATATTCCAACAATGATAATGAATCCTCGGTATATAAAATTGTATCCATATCATCAGTTTTTTTCAAACTCATATTATAACATATATGCATTTGAAAGATAATCAGATTACTTATTATGGTATTTATTTACTATGAGGGAATAAAATTATGGTATTTCTTTACTATGAGGGAATAAAATTATGGTATTTCTTTACTATGAGGGAATAAAGTTATGGTATTTCTTTACTATGAGGAAATAAATTGAGTACTTTTTTAATTATTATTGCTAAAATACAGAAGCATAAATTTGAAGATGATTGTGTTCTAATTAATTGATCTGCTTTTGATTTTTTGTATTGTGTATATCATAAATTGCATATTTATAAAATGAAATATGATTTTATTTGACCTTTGGAAAAAAAAGTTTTACAGCACGAACCGTACAAGTGTTAATCTTTTTTCTTGCAAATTGTCATTTCTATTCGGATATCTTTCAGCTTTTAAAAATTTGTTAGTTGTTGAAATCAAAATGGCAAAGGTTGAAGTCTGTTGAATTTAATGTAAATAACATAAACTGAGCAGTTCCAATTTTGACACCTAACAATTCTTTAAAAGCCCTGTAAACGTTTAAATAGAATTGACCACTATCAAGAACATTTGAAAACACAGGAAAAATTTATATATAGGGTTTTTTTTTTTCCCTTTTTTTTTTTTGGCTGAATCTTTATTGTAAATATAAACATTGGTGCTTGCTTGATATGACATTGTTATTATTTATACATGTATTTATAAAGGTTGCTATTATATCATTAATTTTTTTTAATTTATAGATCATTTATGTAATACATGAATAACTTTTCAAACCTACTCACATTCTGCATATATTTCAACATTCCAAAATATTTTAATAAGATTCTAATAATATATTGATTTTATTACTTACTAAAATTCATTATGTGCTAAGATAATAGCCAAAGTTGGTTAAATACTTGAAGACACTTTATAAAGTAAATTGAGGGGGAAAAAACACTTTAATGTATTATTTGCATTTTGATAAAGAAAAAGGACAGTTTGATTTAATTTTTTCTTTAAGTATTTATAAGTATTGCATTAGTGATCACGAAAGGTTGTATTGAGTATTTGTATGCAAAATGAAATCTCAACTTGGCCTAAAAAGGGATTTTTATCAGTATGTATAGAAAAAAGATATATGCTATGTGTATATACTAAAACATTTGAAACAATGAGAGAAAAGCCATATGTGTTGCAATACTTTCACACATTTTCGATATGCATTGCAACATGCATTGTGGATAATATTTTGCTTTTGTTAGTTCTTACACTAAAGATGACGTGAACTGTAGTAGCTTTTCACAGAATGAAAGAAACATGAAAATATTAACAAAGATTGGGTTTTAGAGTGATCTTTGTAAAAGCAATTTATGTAAACCATGGATATACACCTTATCACTATTTAGTCCATTCTGGAAAAAAACAGTCATTTATTCAACTTCCTGTTTGATAAAGTATTACAAACACAAAGGTCATCAGTACTGAGCTGGGAGAGGAAAAAGTTTGATAATTTATTGTTCATTTTTTTAAAAACAAACTAAAGTTTTAAAAATGCTTTGTTTGCAGTGTTTACCGTGATTTAAACATGTTTTTTTTTTTAATTTTATGCACAATACATTGTTTAAACAGGGCCCCAGTTAGCTTCAACTGGATGAAAAAGCTATGTAATTTCAGACTTGTATGGTTTGGAATAAATAGCGATAAGGTGTATTGGTACCCATAACTCATATTTTAAATGGAATAATATTTTATTTGGTATTATAGAGAAAGAATTTCTAGAATCTAGTCTTTCATATGTTGTATAATTTGAATAATCAGAATCATGTGTAAACAGTGATTTTTTTTTTTAATTTATAGCAATTTTAGTTATCTTTGTATCAGTTTAGGTGAAAGAAATGAGTGTGGTGATCTTGGTTTTAAATGAAGATGCTATTTGTTATATCATTGTTATCGATTGATGTTATTTTTTAAATATGGTAATTTAAAGATTTTTTTAGCATCTTTGAATATGCCAGATGCTTGATTTAATAATTTTTAAAACTTCTTGACAATTTGTATTTGTTATTTTTGTTATTTGCATTTTTAACCAATAATTGAAAAGAAAATACAAGAGAATAACAAATTGCAAGTCCATTTGGTTTTTGTTTTTCATGAAATAATATCAGTTCATTTAAAATCTCACCTCTGTTTTTCTGTGAAAATGCTTCATATGTGAGATAATTCTTGAACAATTTCAGTTATGATTTATGTAAAGGATTTGTGCAAATTCATTTCAGAAGAGGATATTTTATTACGACCACTGTACTGTATACAAAATTTTCTTCTAATCAGGAGCTATTTAAAAAAAAACTGTTCCTGTCAAAATCAAAATTTCCCATGTAAGACAGCTTGGCTCAAGCTTGACATATTACTTTACTTACGTATTTCGACAGTGTATCACATACAAGAAAATTTGTATATAAAAGAGAGGTTTTCATCATCGAATAAAGACATTTCTAGTCAAGTCATATGACAAGTTTACTGGTACATGCTTTGTTTTGAAATGGTGTGGTTCATCCAGAATAAAGTGCTGTCATAAATAATTGGAAAAAATAAAGTATCATTTTGAGAAATTATTCAGTTCAAAATTAACAGTAGGAAAATAAGTCTGCAAGAACAAAGGAAATTTAAATGTATTCCTAATACCAGGAATCTATCTATAAGAGAACAATTTAGGCCCTTAATAATAATAAATAGTTAAAAGTGAGTTAGAATATGTATAATTTAAAAGGATTTATATAGAGTATTAAAAAATATATACACTGGATGTAGCACATAATCATGTTGTTAAAAGAGTATTTGAGATAAAGCATATCATTAAAATTGTTTTACTGCAATCTTTGTTGTTTATAGAATAGTAATCCTCAGATTCACCCTTTGCAGATAATATCAGGTGCCTGATATAAGTCGTTGGGCTCAGTCCAGTTGCAGATTTAGAGGGGACAAGAAGGATTGAAGAAGCAAATATATATATGGGGAACCCAAGTCAGGAGCCTGTGTAAATATAATATGGGGAGCCCAAGCCTGTACTTCAGTGGTTGTCCATGGTTCATATCTGTCATATATTTGTTTTTTGTTAATTGTTTTGTTATAAATTAGGCCGTGAGTTTTCTGAATTGAATTGTTTCATATTTTTAGTCCACTACTGATGAAGTCGAAGGGAAATTTAGGTTTGCACTCCGTCCGTCTGTCTGTCTGTCCATCCGTCAGTCCAGCAAATCAGTTTTCCACACTTTTTTTCTTCATGCTTAAAGATATTGATTTGATATTTGGTATATTGTATGATCATGACAAGTTACAGATCAAGTTCGAATTTTGTTCTGGTCTGATGATTTTGTGCAGAGTTATGGTTCTTGGACTTAGAAAATTCGCTTAAATAATTAGTTTTCCACGCTTTTTATACGACCGCAAAAATATTTTTGTGGTCGTATGACGTTGGCGTCGTCGTCGTCGTCCGGTGCGTCGTCGTCGTCATCCGAAGACACATTGGTTTTCGCACTTTAACTTTAGTTTAAGTGAATGGATCTCTATGAAATTTTACCATAAGGTTCAATACCACAAAAGGAAGGTGGGGATTGATTTTGGGGGTTATGGTACCAACAGTTAAGGAATTAGGGGCCAAAAATAAGCATTTTTGTAACTTCCAGACATAACTTGTGTGTTAGTGTATGGATCTCTCTGACATTGTAATACAAGGTTCCATATCACAAAGGGAATGCTGGGATTGATTTTGGGGGTAATTGCCTCCAAATTTTAGGAATTAGGGGCCAAAAAGGGGCAAAAAACAAGCATTTTTCAAGTTTCATGACAATAACGTGTGTGTAAGTGTATGGATCTTTATGAAATTGTACCACAAGGTTACATATCACAAAGGGAAAACTGGAATTGAGTTTTGGGGTAATTGCCAAAAACGTTTAGGAATAAGGGGCCAAAAAGGGGCAAAAAATAAGCATTTTTCTAGTTTCTAGACAATAACTTGTGTTCAAGTGTATGGATCTCTCTGAAATTGTACTGCAAGGTACCATGCCACAAAGGGAAGGCTGTAATTGATTTTTGGGGGTAATTGCCTCAAAATTTTAGGAATTAGGGGCCACAAAGGGGCAAAAAAACAAGCATTTTTCTAGTTTCAGGACAATAACTTGTGTGTAAGTGTATGGATCTTATGAAATTGTACTACAAGATTCCATATCACAAAAGGAAAGCTGAATTTGAGTTTGGGGGTAATTGCCCTAAACGTTTAGGAATTTGGGGCCAAAACGGGGCCAAAAAACAAGCATTTTTCTAGTTTCCAGACAATAACTTGTGTTCAAGTGTATGGATCTCTCTGAAATTGTACTGCAAGGTACCATACCACAAAGGGAAGGCTGGGATTGAGTTTGGGGGTGATGAATCATAAGGAGGTTCAAAAAATTTGGGGGGGAAGATTTTTTTTTCATTTTTTTTCTTTAAAATTTTCCATTTTAAATTGGTTATTTCTGATTTATATATAAAAACAAATAATAATGATATGGTTTGAATAGGTAAATTAAAAATTTTTAAGTTCTTAGACCACATTCATTCTGTGTCAGAAACCTATGCTATGTCAAATATTCAATTACAATCCAAATTCAGTGCTGTATCAAGCTTGAATGTTGTGTTCATACTTGCCCCAAATATTCAGGGTTTGACCTCTGCGGTCGTATCAAGCTGCGCCCCAGCGGAGCATTTTATTTAGTCATGCTTGAAGATATTGACTTGATATTTGTTATACAGTTTACACCATGATAAGTTATAAATCAAATTAGCATTTTGTTCCAGTACAAAGAATTTTTAACTGGTAGGGGACTATGTATTACCATACAATACTCTCAGAATGCTTGTTCATGTCGGAGCATTTTATAGCCGACTATACAGTATGGATTTTTCTCATTGTTGAAGGCTGTAGTTGCCTATAATTGCTTACATCCACTTAATTTGAACTTTGGTGGATAGTTGTCTCATTGGCAATCATACCTCATCTCCTCATTTTTATATGGATGTAACATAAAAGCTAATAAGATATAGTTCTCCTGTGAAAACATTCATCATTGTATACTTAAAACAAGTAAAAAGGACATTTGAACAAGCAATAGAATTCTATGTACAAATGTACAAGATATGGGTATAAAATGAAATTAAACATATACAAGGAAAGGGTTAAACTTGTTTCTCCTGGTGAAGAAACAAATATGGATGCAATATGAAACTAATGAAATATAGATATATTTCACTTTTTACTGAAATGAAAGGGACCTCTTTTTCAAAATCATTGATCTGCCAATGAATTTTTATACGACCGCAAAAAAATTTTGTGGTCGTATATTGGTATGACGTTGGCGTCGTCGTCGTCGTCGTCGTCGTCGTCGTCCGGCGTCGTCGTCGTCGTCCGGCGTCGTCGTCCGAATACATATTGGTTTTCGCACTCTAACTTTAGTTTAAGTGAATGGATCTTTTTGAAATTTGACCATAAGGTTAAATACCACAAAAGGAAGGTTGGGATTGATTTTGGGGGTTATGGTACCAACAGTTAAGGAATTAGGGGCCAAAAAGGGGCCAAAAATGAGCATTTTCTAGTTTCCAGACAATAACTGTGGAACGGTGTATGGATCTCTCTGAAATTATACTACAAGTTTCCATACCACAAAGGGATGGTTAGGATTTGCTTTGGGGGGTTATGGCTCAAACCGTTTAGGAATTAGGGGCAAAAAAGGGGGAAAAACAAGGTTGTCCTGGTTAATGGACAAATACTTTAGTACAAAACATAATTTAAAGCAGTGTAAGGGAGATAAATCAAATACATCATTGAAATTATCTCCCTTACACTGCTTTTAAATTATGTATAAAGTAATGGTTAATGAACAATAAAGATAATCTAAAACAGTGTAAGGGAGGTAATCCAAATACAACGTTTTGGTTACTTCCCTTACACTGCTTTTAAATTATGTTTAAAGAAATGCATATTTATAAAGGAAGACCAGTAAAAATATCTGCAAATGTTTTCATCTTTTTTTTTTACAAAAAAATCCATATGAAAGATTTGACACTATATTTTTATTAATTCTATTATAAAATAGATTTAAGTTAGCACTATGGTAAATTTAAATGGGTAATTATGGTTGCCAACTCCATTGGAAATTTGAATTGAAATTATGACCATATCTTGAGGGAAAGAATTTTTTTGGGGGAAAAAGGGGGGGGGGGGGGATAAAAAGAAATTGTGGGGGGGCCAATTTTTTCTCATTTCAGATTTCAGAAATTAAAAAGAATTATTCTTCAAATATTTTTTTTTTTTCAAATTTCAAATATTGAAAAATTTCAAGAAGTAATCTTTAATTGCACAGTATGGCGCATTAGATTTGTAAAATCTTTGATCACATTTATTTATTTGTTATGCCGAATCTAACAGTGTATTTAGATTTTTAATTTTGGGTCCAGTTTTCAAATTGGTCTACATTAATGTCCAAAGGGTCCAAAATTAAACTTTGTTTGATTTTAGCAAAAATTGAATATATGAGGTTCTTTGATATGCTGAATCTAAACATGTATTTAGATTTTTGATTTTTGGCCCAGTTTTCAAGTTGGTCCAAATTGGGGTCCAAAATTAAACTTTGTTTGATTTCAACAAAAATTGAATATATGGGGTTCTTTGATATGCTGAATCTAACCATGTATTTAGATTTTTTATTTGTGGACCCCGTTATCTAATTGGTTCATATTGAGGTCAAAAGGGTCCAAAATTAAACTTTGTTTGATTTCATCTAAAATTGAATTATTGGGGTTCTTTGATATTCCAAATCTAACGGTGTATTTAGGTTTTTAAATTTGGGTCCTGTTTTTTAAATTGGTCTACATTGAGGTCCAAAGGGTCCAAAATTAAACTTAGTTTGATTTTGACAAAAATTGAATTCTTGGGGTTCTTTGATTTGCTGAATCTAAACATATGTTTAGATTTTTGATTATGGGCCCAGTTTTCAAGTTGGTCCAAGGTAGGGTCCAGTATTTAAACTTTGTTTGATTTCAACAAAAATTGAATATATGAGGTTCTTTGATATGCTGAATCTAAACATGTATTTAGATTTTTGATTATGGGCCCAGTTTTCAAGTTGGTCCAAATTGGGGTCCAAAATTAAACTTTGTTTGATTTCAACAAAAATTGAATATATGAGGTTCTTTGATATGCTGAATCTAACCATGTATTTAGATTTTTTATTTATAGGCCCCGCTATCAAATTGGTTCATATTGAGGTCAAAAGGGTCCAAAATTAAACTTTGTTTGATTTCATCGAAAATTGAATTATTGGGGTTCTTTGATATGCCAAATCTATCCGTGTTTTTAGATTTTTAATTTGGGTCCTGTTTTTTAAATTGGTCTTCATTGAGGTCCAAAGGGTCCAAAATTAAACTTAGTTTGATTTTAACAAAAATTGAATTCTTGGGGTTCTTTGATATGCTGAATCTAAACATGTGTTTAGATTTTTGATTATGGGCCCAGTTTTCAAGTTGGTCCAAGTTGGAGTCCAAAATTAAACTTTTTTTGATTTCAACAAAAATTGAATATATGGGGTTCTTTGATATGCTGAATCTAACCATGAATTTAGATTTTTTATTTGTGGGCCCGGCTATCAAATTGGTTCATATTGAGGTCAAAAGGGTCCAAAATTAAACTTTGTTTGATTTCATCAAAAATTGAATTATTAGGGTTCTTTGATATTCCAAATCTAACCGTGTATTTAGATTTTTAATTTTAAGTCCCGTTTTTTAAATTGGTCTACATTAAGGTCCAAAGGGTCCAAAATTAAACTTAGTTTGATTTTAGCAAAAATTGAATTCTTGGGGTTCTTTGATATGCTGAATCTAAACATGTGTTTTGATTTTTGATTATGGGCCCAGTTTTCAAGTTTGTCTAAGTTGGGGTCCAAAATTAAACTTTGTTTGATTTTAACAAAAATTGAATATATGGGGTTATTTGATATGCTGAATCTAACCATGTATTTTGATTTTGGACATTGGACCATAATAGGTAAATTAAAAAAATTCAAGTTCTTAGACCACATTCTTTCTGTGTCAGAAACCTATGCTGTGTCAAATATTTAATAGCAATCCAAATTCAGAGCTGTATCAAGCTTGAATGTTGTGTCCATACTTGCCCCAACTGTTCAGGGTTCGACCTCTGCGGTCGTATCAAGCTGCGCCCCAGCGAAGCATTTTATTTATTTTACTGCAGAAATTCTTGTATGGTGATTTATAGTTGCTTACTTCTATGTCATTTGGTCCCTGGTGGAGAATGGTATAATTGGCAATCATACCACATCTTGTTATTATACCACACGCAACTTTGTTGCATGGGGTATAATGTGTTTGACTCATCTGCAGTCTTGTTCGTGTCATCGCAACTCCTCTGAAACCACACAACAGAATTTCATGAAACTTTTTAGATAATAAGGACATACTATTTAGATGTGCATAGCCACAGTAAATAATGATTCAATGTTTTTTTCTAGGAGTTATGCCCTTTTAAACTTGGAATTTTTGCCTAAATATACTATTGCAACAGATTTTCATTGGAACTCCTCTGAAACCACATAACAGAATTTCATGAAACTTTTTAGATAATAAGGACATTCTATGTAGATGTTTATACCGACAGGAACTTATGATACTTTGTTTTTTCTAGGAGTAATGCCTATTGAACTTAACTTAATATACTACTACAACAGTTTGTCATTGCAACTCCTCTGAAACCACACAACAGAATTTCATGAAACTTTTTAGTTAATCGGGACATAATATGTAGATGTACTTAACAAACTTTTATTAATTGACTTTTGTAGGAGTAATGAGTCTTTGAACTTAGGAATCTGGTGAGATTTTGTTTGCCGTGAGACAATGTGGGGGCGTGGGGTATGTGAGCATGCTCACAAAGGTCCTTTATTTTTAACCGGATTTTCGAATGAAATATCGGTTATTAAAATAGTTATATACGGCAGGTGGCTGGGTGGTTCTGGCGGCTGCCAAACAGCATCAGCACAATAACATGAAAACGCTTTAACAAATTTTTTTCAAATTTAAATATGTTGTTTCCTGGGACTTAATGAAGGTCTCTATTAATTTTCAAGATTTTAGTATATCTCCTTTGTGAGTTATCGCCATTTTTAATATCCAAAGTAGAATTTTTAAATATTTTACTGTTGTTATCATTTTATGATTTGTCTTATCTCAGAATAAAAATTGGAGTGACAGATTTATTTGAAAATTATCTATTTCCTAAGTGGTAATAATTATAAGCTATATCATTAGACATTTTGAAGATTATTACATTATTAATTATGTTAGAGTACTATATTAAACAACCATAGTTCTGTTCAATTAGATATTATAAATATTTCAGCATATGATAATGATTTATTTTCATTATTAATTAGATCTTTGAAATATTTTAGCATATGATAATCATTGGAGTGACGGATTTATTTGAAAATTTTCTGTTTTCTGATCAGATCTGTAGGACTGTATATATACAGTTTGAAACTTACTAGTATTACTGTATAAATGAAGTTTGGAATTTACTGTTCATTATTAGACATTTTGTAGATAATTATGTGTCCGTTAATCATATATATTCTTACCCCTACCCCCTTTCAATTTGATAATGTGCTTTTATCTTGTAAACGGTCGAGATCCCTACTCCTCAACCATATAATTATATTCTTGTATGGGACAATAAAACAAATCAAATGAAATATTGTGATAGTCCTCAGGCTCACAGCTACCCTCTTTTTTTTGAAAACTTGAACATGTGCAAGCTCCCCACCCTGAAACCATATATATTCTTGTATGTTACAAATCGAATGAAATAAAAGGTGAGTCGCCTGGGGTCACCCCCAGCGTGTCTGTTTGAGAACTTGTAAACGGTCGAGATCCACACCCCTAAACCATATATATTTTTGTATGGGACAATAAAAGAAATCAAATGAAATATAGGGGATGTCCATTGTGGTAACCCCCACCCCCTTCTGTTTGAGAAATTGTAAACGGTTGAGATCCCCACCCCTAAACCATATTTATTCTTGTATGGGACAATAAAACAAATGAAATAAAATTTAGGGGAAGTCCATGAGGGTTAACCCCACCCCCTTCTTTTTGAAAACTTGTAATTGGTTGAGATCCCCACCCCTCAACCATATATAATCTTTTTTTGGACAATAAAACAAATAAAATGAAATTAAGGGGATGTCCCCTGGGGTAACCCCCACCCCCTTTTTTTTGAAAATTTGTAAACAGTCAAGATCCCCACCCTGAAACCATTTTTCTTCTTGTATATTACACAATAAAACAAATCAAATCAAATAAAAGTCAAGTCCCCTGGGGTCACCCCCACCTTTTTCCTGTTTAAGAACTTGTAAACGATTAAGATCCCTCACCCCTAAACCATATATATTCTTGTATGGGACAATAATCCCCACCTTCTTTCTGTTTAAGAACTTGTAAACGGTTGAGATCCCCACCCCTAAACCATATATATTCTTGTATGGGATAATATATCAAATCAAATGAAATATAGGGGAAGTCCACGGGGGTAAACCGTACCCCCTTCTTTTTGAAAACTTGTAAACGGTTGAGATCCCCACCCCTAAACCATATATGTACTTGTATGGGACAAAAGAATAAAGCAAATTAAATTTTTTTTGAAAACTTGTAAATGGTCAAGATCCCCACCGCGAAACCATATATATTCTTGTATGTTACAATAAAACAAATGAAATGAAATAAAAGGTGAGTTCCTTGGGGTCATTCCCACCTTCTTCCTGTTTAAGAACTTGTAAATGGTTGAGATCCCCGCCCCTAAACCATATATATCCTTGTATGGGACAAAAAAACAAATCATATGAAATAAAGGGCAGGTCCCCTGGGAAAATTTATCAGTTTGTGTGTGTTATATTTGAACATAAATTAAATATATATAGGGTTCTTTAAGTGCTGAATCTAAACTTGTTTTTAATTAGATAATAATCTATTTTTATTATGAGATAAAGTTTTTGACATTGATAGATAAGTTGCAGATCTGTATTATTTTTTGCCACATGAAAGAAACAATATTAGCAACTATTAATTCAATTTGATTATAATATGGAAATAGATATAACATGATATCTAATTTTAGAGAAGTATTTTGCTGGTTTTTTATTGGTTTATGTAAATAAGTTTGAGTTATTTGTTTTGAAAAGTGATGTGTTTAATTGATAGATATAAAATCATATCTAATTTTAGAGATTTATGAGTGGTTAAGTCATATCTAATTTTAGAGAACTATTTTGGTGTTTTGTTACTGGTTCATGGAAATAAATTTGAGTTATTGGCAAAATATCATTGGTAAATTGTTTGAAACTTTTTTGGTAGGCTGTGTGTCTGTCTGTCTGTCTGTCTCTCTGTCTGTTTGTCCTTCAGTTTGGCAAATCAGTTTGCCACACTTTTATGCCTGCGCTGTAGTTGAGGGGGGATTAAGTTTTACCCTTGTCTGTCTGTAAGTATGTATGCTGTATGTCCCAAAATTGGTTTTCGTTCTCTATGGGACAATAAAACAAATCAAATGAAATATAGGGGAAGTCCATTGGGGTAACTACCACCCCCCCCCCCCCTTCTTTTTGATAACTTGTAAACAGTCAAGATCCTCACCCTGAAACCATATATGTTCTTGTATGTTACAATAAAACAAATCAAATGAAATAAAAGGCGAGTCCCCTAGGGTTACTCCCACCTTCTTCCTGTTTAAGAACTTGTAAACGGTTGAGATCCCCACCCCTAAACCATATATATTCTTGCATGGGACAATAAAACAAATCAAATGAAATTTAGGGGAAGGGATGTCCTCTGGTGTAACCCCCAACCCCCTTCTTTTATTTTTTGTAATGCATGTAGGGTTCTTTTGAAATGCTGACTGTTCTGAACATGTATTTATATATTATTAATTAGATAATACCACATTGAGGTCCAAAGAGTATTAAATTAAAATGTTGTTTAGTTTCATCAAAAAATGATTTGTTATGGATCTGATTCAGTTTGAGTTATTTCCCTTTGAATATAGAATGTTAATCAGTTTGTGTGTGTTATAGTTGAACATAAATTAAATATATATAGGGTTCTTTAAGTGCTGAATCTAAACTTGTTTTTAACTAGATAATAATCTATTTTTATTATGAGATAAAGTTTTTGACATTGATAGATAAGTTGCAGATCTGTATTATTTTGTGACACATGAAAGAAACACCAACTATTAATTAAATTTGATTATAATATAGAAATAGATATAACATCATATCTGATTATAGAGAAGTATTTTGCTTGTTTTTTACTGGTTCATGGAAATAAGTTTGAGTTATTTGTTTTGAACAGAGATGGTTTAATTGATAGATATAACATCATATCTAATTTAAGAGATATTTTTTTATTAAGGGGTTAAGTCATATCTAATTTTAGTGAATTATTTTGCTGTTTTACTGGTTCATTTAAATAAGTTTGAGTTATTGGCAAAAATTTCATTGGTAAAATGTTTATATAATTTTTGGTAGGCTGTGTGTCTGTCTGTCTGTCTTTCTGTCTGTCTATTCATCTCTCAGTTTGGCAAATGAGTTTTCTACACTTTTTCTTCCTGCTGCTTGAATATAGTATATAAATTTTAATTTATTAATTGATTGTTTTTGTTCACTTTATTTTTTCTGTTTACTTTATTTTATTCATTAGTTGAAAGTCTGGCGAAAGATACCAGAGGGATTCAAACTTCTAGATCGAAATAAACCGACAATGCAATGGCTAAAAAAGAAAAAGACAAACAGACAAATAAAATCACACAAGACACAACATGGAAAACTAAAGACTAAGCAACACAAATCCCACCAAAAAAAGGGGGGGGGTATTTTCAGGTGATCTGAAAGGGTAAGCAGACCCTGCTGCACAGGTGTCACCCGTTGTGTTGCTCATGTAATTTCAAAGCTGGTAAATAGTCCTATTGTTATGCAATATTCACAGAATTCTTGTTTAGCTTGATTTTTTTTTGTGTCTCTGCTGTGGATTATGATTTATGTTTATTAAAATGAAACAATGGA